CAGATGTGCTGGACTTGTGCTGAGAAATTACTTTGCTCTGCACCTTTTAGATCCATCTGTGCAGCTTTAGTGAGTAGGAGCAAATCACGTCCTCACAGTCCTTTTGCCTTGTTGGCAGGCAGCTGCATGTGCGCAGTACCTGCCCACTGTGAAGGCACTCCCAGTGCATTGCTGTCACTGTCCAGCTTTCTGTACATGCCACCTCTCCAAAAAGTCGAGTCTATTACAGTCAAGGCTACCTGTAGCCTTCCTCCCTCCACCAGATCCAGATGCAGATAGTATCTCTCTCCCACTCTGGCACTCTCCCAGTTGGCATTTGCCACTGCAGCTGTCAGTGTACCACTAGCTATGTTCATTGTAGCCTGGTTCTCCCCAATGACTTTGTGTATCCACATTGCTCCTGGCCTGGGTCTGGGGATTCCCTATTCTGGGAGGGGAGATAGCTGATAAGTTGTTATCTCTAACCAGGCGCTCCATAGATGCAGTTGCTCTGGCTGCCCGTGCCATGCCTGGGGATTTTCCCCATCCACCTATAAAACCTCCTTACCACCTATTTTGAAACATGTTCTGTACTCTTTGGTTTCCAGACTTCATATCAGCTCAGATTTTGTTGACTGTTCACTTTATTTTTCAGAAGCTCAGCTAAGCGTCTGAGTGATGTGCAAGAGCAAGTGGACTCAGCCTCTGCCTACTTGGCTGCCATTTTCCACTCTATTTAGCTTTTAATTAAAGTCTTTTCTGGTGGTGAAATATTCTCTTTTATGACATGATGATGCTTTTTTTTTTAAGTGTCCAAGTTTGGGAAAGTGAAAAAGCATTCCTGAATGTTTTGAAATTTGGACCATGAAGTTGAAAAGTCTTGGAGTCACCAATTTAGGAACTAAGTAATAGTATAGCCCTTCAGATTTACAAAAACCCTAGCAGTTTAGTCCACCAAATAGAGAGAGCTGTATTTGTCACCTGTTTTGGTGCACAGCTCCTAAAATTCTCAGAATCTCCTTAGTTCTGAGAATATTATTTTCTTTCTGTAATGAGTCCCTTTCCCCAACTTGAATCTATGTTAATGAGTTGACTTTTGATGGTTCCCTAGAAAGCTTCAAGGTGGGATCTACTCACCATAAAAACCAACCACATGAATAGAAATTTGGGATTTCCAGCCCCATTCCCCCACCTCCAGGGAGTAAAGAGGGGCCAGGGATTGAGTTCAGTCACCAGTGGCTCATGATTTTATCAGTCATGCCTACATAACGAAAGCTTTATTAAAACTCTTAGTCAACAGGGTTTGAGGAGCTTCTCAGTTGGTGAACACATCCATGTGCCAGGAGGATGGCACACCTGAACTCCACAGGGACAGAAGCTCTAGCACTCAGGATGTAAGTGCATATACCCATTAACACTTAAGCTCCCCATTCCCCAGCCCTTGACGATCTCCAGTCTACTTTCTAACCCTATAGTTTTATCTATTCTGGATATTTTATATAATATGTGACCTTCGTATCTGTCTCCTTTCACTTAGCATAGTATTTTCAAAGTTTATCCATGTTGTGACTATATCAATACTTAATTATTTTTTATGGCTGAATAAAAAGTATCCTATTGTGTAGATAATACTATGTTTTGTTTATCATTTTATTCACTGCTGGACTTTTGGCGTGGTTTCCATGTTTTGGATATTTTGACTTTGTTTACAAGGTATATTTGACTTTGTTTACAAGGTATATTTTTTCACTTTTATTTTTAACCTACCAGAAGCCTTCCAACCTTTGCCTTTTTAGGTTTTTATGTATGCTTTATTTCATAGGCATGATTGATTAAATCATTGGTATTGGCAATTAATTCAGTCTTCTGCCTCTGACCTCTCTGGAGTTCAGAGCTGGGACTGAAAGGTCCAACCCTCTTAATCAGGGGTTTGGCTCCATTGGCCCTCGGCTTCCAGTAGTAGGTGCTTTCCAAAAGTCACCTCATTAACATAACAAAACACACCTTTAGCATTATTAGCAGTAAATTCCAAGGATTTGGGGAGCTTTGAGCCAGGAACTGGACAATGACCAAATATATATGTGAGAAATATTTTTTGGTTATCTGGTTTGAATGACCTAATATTTACTTATTATAAATCACAGTATCACACAAATAGTTGTAGAAGATGAGAGAGAGAGAGAGATCTCATGCACCCTTATTTACAAAGGGGGACCCAAAAAACCTCAGAATTATCTACCGGAAGGTGGGCTCCTTTGTAGTACAGGCTTTCCCCACTAGGTGAGTGTCCTAGGAACCCATTTGTATCAGTGTACCAGCTGGCATTGTTGTGAGAGGCTGTGTTGGGCTTCAGCTGATTTTTTTAAAGGCTCTTTAAACGCATTTGTACATTTCACAATGGGTGATTTACAAGCATACATGCCCACACCACAATGAGTGTTCTGCAGTTTTTGACCAGAAGGGGCATGACACTGTGCCCCATCCTCTCTATCAACTGATCTTTCCCCAAGCAGGTTTTTGTTTTCTTTGGATGAAAAAACAGTCCGCAAAGGGAAACATTTTGCTGATGTGGAAGAGATGAAAGAAAATAAATAACAAACACTAAAAGGTGTCAGAATCAGCAAGTTCAAAAAACTGTTTTGAGCAGTGAGAAAAATGTTTTCATGAGTGTATCACATCAGGTGGAAAGTACTTTGAAAGTGACTGAAGTTTAAACATGTAAGAAAAAGATACACAATTTTTAAATAAATAGATAAATTCCAGGTTTATTTATTCCTCCTCGTACTTTAACCCAATGGTAACATCTTAGAAAGCAATATTAAAATATCGCAACTGGTATACTGATGCTGATGTAGTCAAGGTATAGATCCATCACCTCAGAGACCCCAGTTGCTTTTGTGTAGCTGCACCCCTTCCCTCCTGTCCCTGTTCCCCCTTAACCACTGGCAACCTCTTTTTCATTGTATTACAGAGTTCTCTTATTTTTAGATGTACTACAGCAGAAAAACGTGTATATATTAAACAATAGCTGTGGTAATGTGCTTATTTTGCTTTTCAGTTTTATTAGAATGCCTCAAGTATTTTTTCCATGTGAGTGTAAAGTTAAATTTGGATTGAGAGATGTGCTTTTTAAAGGTTAGGAATCCTCCATAGCTGTTTTCTAAAAATATTTAAAATTCTGTATTGATAATGGGTTTTATCATTTCTTTATAACACCTAATAAATGAGTGATTTTGCAGGTTTTCTCTGTAAAACTGGTTCTGTTCCTGGGTGTGCAGGTGTCTCAGAATGCTGGTGCACGCTGCTCACTGTGTAGATATTTTGGGTTTCCCACAGGCGTGTCAGGCAAACTGTGCTGTATGTTGCAATTGGTCTCCTTACTCCTATGTTTTTCTTTCTTTCTGTGTCTGTTAGTTGCTGTGCACAGACTTCTCTTTTTTTTTGTATGAAACATGCTTCTGATAGAAACAGGTTTCACTTAAAGTTATTTATTCTGAGTGCCAGTCAGGCTATCACAATTCAATAATAGGGAGGAGCAGGGCACTGCTGGAACCTGGCACCCTAGGAATAAGGTTGCAGGGAGGCATGCAGACCTGGGGTGGCTGTCCCTAAGGGAAGCTGCGACTGGCATTTTTGTCCTGGGCATTGTTATTGGAATGGGCCATCTGCAAAGCACTTAGAACATCTTTATTTTTAAGCCATGCTGGTTGGTATGGACCAGACCCTCCTTCCTTTCCCCTTTTACCTGCTTAACTACATTTCAGCGTTCTCTGGTCTTCCCTGTGGGAATAGCATACCAGTGTTACCTAAATAGAGAATAGATTACCTTAAAAATATAAGAAATATCATCTCTTCCCTTGGTAATATTTTTTTCCTCATTTGGGTTGAGCAAGGGTAAGTGGTTTCAGGGAAAGTTCCTTTTTTATTTCTACAAAACATTTACATTTGAAATACTAATTTTTAAAAAAGTTACAGTGTAGAAGATTATTATTTTTATTTGCTAGGGCTGCCAAAACAAAATACCACAGTTAGCATTACTTTAATAACAGGAATTTTTTAGTCTGGAAGCTAAAAGTCTGAGATCAAAGTGTCAGCAGCTATGGTTCCTTCTGAAGCCTCTTTTCTTGGCTCGAAGGTGGCTGTCTTCTCCCTGTGTCTCCACATGGTATTCTCTCTGTATGTATCTGTGCCCTTGTTTCTTCTTTCTATAAGGACACCATTTAAATTAGATCAGGGCCCACCATAACATCCTGACCTCATTTTAATGTAATTACTTTAAAGACACTGTTTCCAAATACAGTCGCATTCTGAGCACTGGGGACTAGGATTTCAATGTATGGTTTTTGGGGGACACAATTCAATGCATAGCAATATGTCTTAGGAAGGTTAACTTAAAAGCAGAAAGACCAGGAAGTTATTTGAGAAATGAAGAGAACCTAAACTAGCACTTTGACAATAGCAATTAAGATGACATTTGAGATTGAGTGACATTAAGGAGGAAGACATAAAACTCTGTGGGTGAATGTGGAGAGGTGTGAGAGGGAAGAAGCCAGCATGACTCAGATTTCTCTAATTCAGGGGGAGAGACAGGATGGAGGGAATAGATGTGAGCTGTGCAATGTTCCTATTCAGTACTCAACACTTTTGACAAAACAAATAAACTGGGTAGGGTCAACTGTCCCGCTCTCTTTTCCCCATCCTATAAGGGTCCTCATGTAATGGACTATACCACATAAAATTGAACATGTTAGTTTCTTGCCTCTGAACCTCCATTTAAATGTATCATAATACATTAAATACCCTCTTAGTTTTATAGTGAATTCCAAATTCCTGCTAACCTAAGCTCCTTTAGCGCAGAGACTATTGTTTTATTCACTTGCCGAATTTCCCAGTACTTGTTAGCTGACTCAGATGTTTGTGTTTAGCAAATGGCTAGTTGGGGGAATGATTTGTCAGTAGGATTGTTATGATCAGTTGCTTGCTCTTTGTACATATCAATCATTTGTTTTGTTTTCTTACAGAATGAGAAGACTTTGGGACGTTCCATGAGTCATTCAAGTATCATTTCTAAGGTAGAGTACCACTTAAATGTTATTTTCATAGCTTGGGGATTTGTATTTCTAACCTTGCATGTGTTATATTCTTCTTTGGAAGACACAAGTTTATTGATATATGTCCTTAATCTGCTCTCAGACCATACAGTGAGCTGTGTGGCAGTTGAGTTTTCTAGTGAGGCAAATTCTCCGTGTGTGTTGGGGGCAGTGACTAATAAAAGAAAACCCTATTTCTTCCAGGGTAAAAGGAGAAAGCATTTACTTTCAGGTAAAAGAAATCCCAGGGAGTCACCAGAGAATCTGTCAACTCTGTTAAGAGTGCATTTGACTGATAGTAACAAAAATCCAACTCTGGTGACTTAAATAATTATGCATTTATGTGGTTCCAGTGACAAGGTATCTAGTGGTAGATGGTCAAGATGGATGGAATTGTTAACAGAGAGAGGTTGCCAGGGACCCATGCACTTTCTGTTCTCTGTGTGCCATCTTCCTTAGCACATTGCCCACCACATGCTCAGCACCTCGTGGTGTCAAGGTGAGAACTGGCACCAAGGCTTTGGCCCTGGCAGAAATGAGAATGGTGAAGGATGGTTGGTTGTGGCCATTGAGAGTTGCACTTTTCAGGAGGAAGGCCAAAGCTTTCCCAGAAGCCTCACTCAGCTGCCTGACTAATACTTATATCCCACTGACCAGGACTAGATCACAAGGCCACCTCTAGTTGGAAAGTTGCAGGAAAAGGAAGACTAAGGAAGTGAATCTGATGCACCTGTGGTATAATTACTTGAGTAGCTACTACAGGTAACTGAGGAGCCAGCAGACAGGGTGTCACATTCAGTGAGCTTGCATCCCAGGTACTGCACATCTCTCAGCCCTACACATGGGCTCTGACCAACCTCTTGTCCATGCAGGTATGTCCGTGGAGGTTTCTTGCAGGGATGACCTTCTCCCCATGTCTCTGTCACTTGGCCTGACACAGACCCCGATGGGAAAGCCTGAGCAACATGAAAAAACTTGTCCTGCTGTCTCAGGCCTCCTAAGTACTCTGAAATAGTCACATTAGATGCCATTTTAATTTACAAACTACATGGATATTTTCATTTATATCAACCTCTTTTTTGAACCAAATTAGAATTTATCAAATTCTTTAAAACCATCAATTTGTTCTTAGGCATATTTGTGATCCAATCATATCATTCATCCACTTAATTTTGCATAAAAAGAAAAGTTTATAGTGCTTAGTATGGCACTGAAAGCCATTTGCATAGTGTTTCTCGGTTCATTCCTGACCTGATCTGGCCTCAGACCAGTCACTCAAGCCACAGGCTTAGGCCACCTCATATAAATGCCTTTCCCCAGATTCTCCCTCCTGTTTAAACCTCCATTTATTTTCTTTTGCTGTTCCCTCAGCTATGAATTATGGAGTTGTAGAACTGTGCAGTGGTGGATCATTCCTGTCTGAGTATAAGGGGCAGGTTCTGTCCTCACACCTTTCAAAGGAGCATGGAGAAAAGTGATGTGCAGATCTAGAGAGCCTGTATGCTTAAGTTGAATTAAACATTTAAAAGTCTACGGTAGCACTCATTGCTGTTGCCCTGATGGCTAACTGATAAAGCAGGGCATTGTCCTGTGCCTCAAATATGTGTCTTTTCATGGTTTTAATAAAAAAAAAAGTTTCCTCTTATAGTTAAAAAAAATTAACCTCTGTGTCTCGAATATGTGTCTGTTCATGGTTTTAGTAAAAAAAAAAAAAAAGTTTCCTCTTATAGTTAAAAAAAATTAACTTTGACACACTGTGAACCTCTGGCTTACAGTGTGTCAAGGAACATTTTATGGGCATGGCCCAGGCTTGGGTGTTCTGAGTTGCTTTGTGATGGTTTTGAGGTTAGATGGACAAGGATTTACTAGCCAGGTGACTTTGAGGAAAGATCCTTCTCTGAGCTATAATTTCCTGATGAGTAAAATTAGAGCAAAAAACCCCAGAAACAACCTTCAGGGTTGTTGTGAGTCTTACAAATAATATTTGCAAGGAGTTGTGAGCCAGCTCTCATTGCAGTGAGTCAGGAGTGATTTTTTTTTCCCTTTTAAAAATTTTTATTTATTTATCTTTAGAGGGGAAGGAGAAGGGGGAGAGAAACATCAATGTATGGTTGCCTTTAGTGCATCCCCTGCTGGGAATTTGCCTGCAGGGAACTGGCCTCAACCCAGGCATGTGCTGGGAATTGAACCATGATCCTCTGGTTTGCAGGCCTGTGCTCAATCCACTGAGCTACACCAGCCAGGGCTCAGGAGTGATTCTAGTTAAACATCGTTAAACTCTGGTGAACTTGGATTAATTGGGTAAGGATAGTCCTTGATGGTACTATTACTATTACTATTACTATTACTATTACTATTACTATTACTATTACTATTACTTGATTACTTTGTGATCAAAGGCACAAATGTATGCTTTAAAATAACTTACACATCTAGGTGAAAATTAAGAAATTTAATAAGAACTCTCTGCCCTTTTCCTTTCTTTATTTTTGCACCCATTTGTAATACAGATTCTTTGGTCCAGACACTGAGTAAAGGTGCTGGCATAAAATGACGAGGAAAGTAAATATGCCCTATATCATTGAGCTTTCCTGTGGTTAGGGTTGGGATTTTCTCTTTTTTATTCTTTCTTTTTTAAAATTTTATTTATTTTTTTAGAGAGGGGAATGGAGAGAGAGAGGAAGAGAAACATTGGTGTGTGGTTGCCGCTGGGGTGCCCTGCACGGGGGACCCTGACCCACAGCCCAGGCATGTGCCCTGACTGGCAATTGAACTGGTGACCCTTTGGTTCACAGGTCATCACTCAATCCACTGAGCCACAGGTGGAATTTTCTTAAAAAGCAGTTTTAGTTCCATACTGACACTTTCAGGAACAGGGGAACTGGAAAAGCCTCAAAGCTTTTTGATATAAGGAAGGTCCAGGAAAATCTGGGCCTTTCATTTTTAAAGCAGGAGTTCCTACATAAGTAACTGGGATCAAGGAAAATCTCAGAGTGGTGTGTGTTCACATAACTTTCTGGTATGAAATTTTTTTGTAGAATGTACCTCCTCTATAAGTAAGTAAATTCATATAGTATGGAGTTGTTCTGCATGAACTAGTTAAGTGGGGCTTGGAAAGAAAGAAGTGCTGTGAAAGATAATTTTGTTTTTGAGAGTGCAGTTCTCTCTTGTAGTATTTATAAAATGAACCTGTTGTTTGAGGCCACTTTCAGACCAGGGCATGTAAAATTCTTATCTTCATTGTACCAGACATACTTAAACAGATGCTTCATACCCTTGAGATAGAACAGTGATTTTCAACCAGTGTGCTACAAGAATTTAGATTTTAGAGAAGGGAAAGGGAGGTAGAAAGGGAGGGAATCATCAGTGTGAGAAACATCAGTTGGTTGCCTTCTGTGTGCTCCCTGACCTGAGACCAAACCCTGCCCAGGTGTGTGCCTTGATTGGGAATCGAATAAGCAACCTTTCAGTTTGTAGGATGAGGCCCACCCAACTGAGCCATACTGGCTGGGGCACTGCAAGAATTTTTAAAACATGCAATACCTGACTTTATTTCCCTCAGATTGTCAAATAAAAAAATGATAACCTCCAATACAGTAGCCATCCAGTGTGAATGAATCAAAATTATACGTATTTTTGTCAGATCTGCAAAAAATATATTTTTTGTTGTGCCACAGAATTTTAGTAATTATTTTATATGCACCATGAAATGACAAAGGTTAAAAATGGCTGAAATAGAGGATACAAAGAAAAATCACACCATTGGCATGTTTTACGTCATCTGAAATCTCCATTGTCTCTGCCAAGAGTATTAGTCTGCCAACTGAATTCCAGTTGGGTCCAGTTTGTGCTCACTTTAGTCAACTGTAGTCTGTTATGCTCCTGCAGTTTTCTGGCTCATGAAGTTAGACATTGAGAACAGGTTAAAAAAAAAAAACTTTCAATAAGGAAAGTTTAAGATCTTCACAGATCTAGATTTTGTTACAAAGCGCTAGAATGTTTTATTGTTTATTTGAGTTTATTCATGTTTCATTTTAGCCTCAGAAACCACACTCAGCTTTCAAAGAAGTAATCAGGCATGTTGAACAGGATGTGCAAGAGGCTGCTAGGTTGGTGGCTGTTTGCCTGTCTTTAAAATGGGTGTGTAGGTGGTTAGTGATATTGCAGATCTTTTCATATGTATATTGGCCATCTGCATGTCCTTTTTGGACATGTGTCTATTCAGGTCTTTTGCCCATTTTTAATTGGATTTTTCTTGGGAAGGTGTTGAGTTGTATGAGTTTTTTAATAAATATCGGGTATTAACCCCATATCAGATATATCATTGGTGAATATATTCTTCCATTCAGTATATTGTCTTTTTGCTTTGTTCATGGTTTCTTTCACTGCACAAATTTTTTTAGTTTGACGTAGTCCCATTCGTTTATTTTTTCTTTTGTCTCCTTTGGTTGAGGACATATATAAGAAAAAATATTGTTACCAGAAATATTTGAGATTTTACTGCCTATGTTTTCTTCTAGGATTTTTATGGTTTCAAGTCTTACATTTAAAATTCTTTAATCCATTTAGCATTTATTTTTGTGTGTGCTGTGAAAAGGTGGTCTAGTTTTACTTTCTTGCACTTTCAGTTCAGTTTTCCCAACACCATTTATTGAGCAGATTGTCTTTACCCCATTGTATGTTCTTTCCATCTTTGTTAAATATTGATTAACTGTAGAGACATGGGTTTATTTCCGGGTTTTCTGTTCTGTTCCATTGATGTGTATGTCTGTTTTTTTTTTATGCCAGTACTATGCTGTTTTGATCTTTATGGCCTTTTAGTATATAGTTTGATATCCGTTAACATGATGCCTCCAACTTTGTTCTTCTTTCTCAAGATGTCTGTAGCCACTGAGGATCTTTTGTGATTCTATATAAATTTTTTAATAACTCGTTTTAGTTCTGTGAAATACACCATTGGTAACATGATAGGAATTGTATTG